TTTTTGTTGTATTGTTTCTTTTCTTATTATTGAATTATAAGAATTCTTTATATATTCTAGATACAAGTCTTTTATTGGATATGTGGTTTGCAAATATCTTCTCCCTTTCTTTGGGTTCCTTTTTATTTTATTAACAGTATATTTTGGGGAACAATAGCTTTTAATTTTGAAGAAGTCCAATTATTGATTTTGCTTTTATAGTTCATGTTTACTATAGTCTATTTGGAAAATCTTTGTCAAATGCAAGGCCACTTAGAGTTCCTACTCTGTGTTCTGCCAGAAGTTTTATAGTTTTAGCTCTTACTTTAGCTTTTTCTTTTAAGTTTTTATTCCATTTAGAGTTAATTTGTGTAAACTGCATGAGATAACAGCTGGGGTCCAATTTTTTGTACATAGTCATTCTATAGTTTCAGCACTATAGAAAAAGATTTCCCTATTCAATTGCCTTGATACCTTTGTCAAAAATCAATTGACTATATGTGTGTGGGTCTACTTTGGAATGTTTATTCTGTTCTATTGCTGTATGTGTCTGTCTTTGCACCAATACTATACTGTTTTGACTATTACACCTTTATAATAAATCTTAAAAACAGGCAGTTAGTTATTCATTCTTTATTAAAGTTGTTTTGGGCATATAGAGGTCCTTTGAATTCCTATGTAAACTTTAGAATCAGCTTGCCAATATCTACAAAGAAGCTTGCTGGAATTTTGAATGGAATTATGATGAATCTCTACATAAATTTGGAGAGAACTGATAGCTTAACAATATAGAATACTGATCCATAAACATGATATATCTTTCCATTTATTTAGGTCTTTCAAAATTTCTCTCAGTAATTTTTTATTTTTTTTTTATTTATTTATTTTTTTTGAGACAGAGTCTTGCTTTGTTGCCTAGGCTAGAGTGAGTGCCGTGGCGTCAGACTAGCTCACAGCAACCTCAAACTCCTGGGCTCAAGCGATCCTTCTGTCTCAGCCTCCCAAGTAGCTGGGACTACAGGCATGAGCCACCATGCCAGGCTAATTTTTTCTATATATATTAGTTGGCCAATTAGTTTCTTTCTATTTATAGTAGAGACGGGGTCTCGCTCTTGCTCAGGCTGGTTTCAAACTCCCGACCTCGAGCGATCCGCCCGCCTCGGCCTCCCAAGAGCTAGGATTACAGGCGTGAGCCACCGCGCCCGGCCATCTCTCAGTAATTTTATGTACATATGGTATTTCTTTCTTCAATTGGTAGAATTTACCAGAACACCCATCTAGACATAGAATTTTTTATGTGAGACAGTTTCTAACTACAAGTTTGATATCTTTAATAGATATTGGGAATTACAAGTTATCTCTTTCTTCTTGAGTGAGTTTTGGTAACTTATATCTTTTAAGAAATCTGTTCATCTAAGTTGTTGAAATTATAAGCCTAAAATTGTTTATAATATTCTTTTATTATCCCTTATTATCTGTAGAATCTGTAGTCCTGTCATCTGTCTCATTCCTGATATTGATGAATTGTGTCTTCTTTCTTTTTTTCTTGATCAGTCTGGCTAGAGGCTTATCAATTTTATTGATCTAGTCAAAGAACTAGTTTTTGATTTCATTGATTTTTCTCTATTTTTTTTGTTTTTATATTTTATTGATTTTTACCTATATCTTTATTATTTCCTTCTTTCTCCTTACTTTGGGCTTAATTTGCTTTTACTTTATAATCTCTTAAGGTAGACATTTAGATCATTGATATGAGACCTTTCTTCTTTTTGAATATAGCCTTTCATGGTATAAATTACCCTCTAAGCACTGCCTTAGCTGCAATCTACAGGATTTAGTATCTTGCATTATCATTTTCATTTAGTTCAAAATATTTTCAATTTTTTGTGACCTCCTATTTGACCTATGAGTTATGTAGGTGTATTATTTAGTTTTTTAAAAAATATTTGGGGACTTTTCAGATGTCTTTCTGTTATTGATTTCTAATTCAATTCTATTTTGGTCAGATAACATATTTGTATGGTTTTAATATTTAAAGAAAATATTCAGGCTTGTTTCATGGGCCAGAATATGGTCTATAATGATAAACGTTCTATATGTACTTGGAAAAATATTTATTCTGATACTTTGGGGTGGAGTATTCTATAAATGTCATTTACGTCAATTTCATTTCCAGTCTTCCCTAACCTCACTGACTTTCTGTCTATTTTTCTATCATTTATTAAGAGAAAGTACTATAGTTTGGATGTATGACTCCTTCAAACCTTATGTTGAAATTTGATTCCCAATGTTGGAGGTGGGGCACAATGGGAGGTGTTTGGGTCATGGGGGCAGATCCCTCATGAATAGATTAGTGCCCTTCCTGAGGTGGGATTGAGTGAGCTCTCACTCTAATGAATTCCTTGGAGAGCTGGTTGTTAAAAAGAACCTGGCACCTCCCTCCCTCACTTGCTTCTTCTCTTGCCATGTGATCTCTGCACATGTTGGCTTCCCTTCACTTTCTGCCTTGAGTGGAAGCAGCCTGAGATCAGCACCAGAAGCAGATGCTGGCTTCATGCTTCTTGTACAACCTGAAGAACCATGAACCAAATAAACCCCTTTTCTTTATAAATTACCCAGCCTCAGGTACTTCTTTACAGCAACACAAAGTGGACTAAGACAGAAAGATATTGAAATCTCCAACTATAATTGTGAATCTGTCTAAACTCTATCAGTGTTTGCATCATGTGTTTTTAAACCTTTATTATTAGATGCATAACATGTAAGATTGTTGTATATTTTTGATGAATTGACCCCTTTAACATTATGAAATGACCCTTACTGACCTGAAATCTACTTTGCATGTACTGAAATAGCCACTCTAGCTTTCCTGTGTCTGTTGTTAGCACAGTTAACAGCTTATCTTTTAAAGGTATTTTTTTCTTATGTCTTCTGACTTGCATTGTTTCCAATGAGGTATCTGCTGTTATTCTTATATTTGTTCTTCTGTGTGTAACGTGTCTCCAGCCCTCTGATCCTGTCCCCTGATTCACTTACACTCCCTTCTTTTAAGATTATCTTTATCACTGATTTTAAGTAATTAAATTATGATGTGCCTTGGTATAGTTTTTCATGCTTTTGGTGCTTGGGATTTGTTCATATTATTAGATTTGTGGATTCATAATTTTTATGTAATTTGGAAAATATTCAGCCATTATTTCTTCCAATATTTTTTCTGTCTTCCCTTCTCCTTTGATGACGCTAATTATGTGTCTATTAAGATGATTAAAATTATCTCACAGATCACTAATTCTATGTCAATATTTTTTCATTTTTCCTCTCTTTGTTTAATTTTAAATTTCTAACGCTGTGTCTTCAAATTCAGTAATCTTTTCTCTGTATGTTCCTCTTTTTCCATTCATCCCTTATACACTGATGTTCCCTCAGGAATCTTTGTGCCACTTTTTCTTCCCACTCTACAAACTCATTCACTTCCAGGGCTTCAGTTACCATTCTATTCTGATTACTGCCAAAACTGTGTCTTTAGCCCAGATAATTCAGTATTCTAGTATTACTGACTGACTATTTGACATTTCCCCTGCTTGATCCAGAGACACTTTAGCTCATACAGAAACTATTATCTCCTCTTATGTGTTTTATTACAGTAAATAGGAACACAAAACAACTGGTTAGCGAAAGATGAAACATGGGTCTCATTCAGGACCCTTCCTATTCTTCAGCCCCAACATCTATTTGATAACTACTTCTGTCAATTTTATCTTCTTCACATCACTCAGGTGGTTCTACTTTTCTCTATTAAAACTGCCATTGCATTGGCTCAAGCTCTGGGTCTTATCTATATTATTACAATTATCTCCCTGCCTTTATAAACCTCTTCCAATCTTTCTTCCACTCTGCCTGCTGCAGAATAACTTTCTATTACACAAAATTGATCATGTCACTCTCTAATTTCCCTATGGCCAACAAAATTCAGTTTGAACTTCTTCACATAGGTTACACAGACTCCCATAATCCTTTGTGTAGTTCATTAATGTATGCTTTCACAGCTCCTCTATGTACATAATCTATGATGAACTATTCACTGTTCCTTGGAGAAGCTATGTTATTTCATACCTCTGTTTTTGCTTAGGCTGTTCCCTCTGCCTAAAATATTCTTTTCCTCTTTGTTTATGGCAAACTCCTACTTACTCATTTAGTCCCAGCTCAAGAGTTCAGTTTTCTATGAAGCATTTCCTCAGCAACCAAGGAGCAACTCCTTTCTTTGAGCCACCAAATTTCATGCATATCTATTATATTATTTATTATATTCTATTGCAAGTATTTATTTATGCCAGTCTTCCTTACTATACTTTGAGCTTCTTTCAGGCTTAAACATTGTTTTAGTCATTTATGTATCTATTGCAAGTATTTATTTATGCCAGTCTTCCTTACTATACTTTGAGCTTCTTTCAGGCTTAAACATTGTTTTAGTCATTTATGTATCTCTAGGTTTCTAGCAGAATGCTTAGAACAGTGGTCTCCAACCATTTTGGTACCAGGGACCTGTTCATGGAAGACAATTTTTCCGTTGATGGTGGGGGAGGGGAGGGAAGGATGGTGGGGAATGGAGCTCAGATGCTGATACCAGTGATGGGGAGCTGAGTGGCTGCAAATACAGATGAAGCTGCTGCTCACTTGCCCGCTGCTCATCTCCTGCTCTGTGGCCCCAGTTTGTAAGTTTCATGGAAGACAATTTTTCCACAGATGGGGGTTCAGGGGGTGGGTAGCTGGATAGGCAGAGCTCAGATGGTGATGCATAGCCAGGTTCTAATAGGCCACAGACCAGTACCATGCTGCAGCCCGGGGGTTGGGGACTACAAGCTTAGAATATGAAAGATGCTTAATAAATGTTTATTGATGTGTAGTGTAAGTTTTCCATGGGTATAAAATTGGTAAGAGGTGTGGCAGAATTTGAATCTAGACTTTTATGAATTTAAATCCTTGCTTTATCCGCTACATTACAGTATTTTTAAGTTAAATACCTCAATTCCTTAAGTCATTCTTCCTTGAGATTCCTCTGTTCTTGTCCAGTTTTTCCACATGTATTTTAAAGTAAGTCTGGAAATCTATAGAAGATATAGACATTTGTATTTTTCAAAGATAGCTACAACAATATCTCATGGTCCACATGTTGTTCTGTAATGACACTTTTCCATTAAGAGGTAGAGTCTATTTTTTTACTTTTTTGAGTCTAGGTGGAACCTGTGACTGCTTTGGCCAATAAAATACAATAGAAGTGATGCTGTAACAGTTTTTGGAATATCTCTTAACAGCTCTGGAGATTTTCACTTTCTACTTTTTGAAAGCTAGCCAACATGTGACTACCCTGAGACCACCAATGCTATGAGAAACTCAAGTCATATTAAGAGGACCTGGAGGTTGAGATGTCATGTTGAGAGGGAGAGGCCAAGGTGCCAGACCTTGAGGAGACAGACATGTAGGTGAAGAAGCTATAATGAAAGTGGAGTGTCTAGCCTTAGCTCTTCAGCTGATACCACATGAATCAGTGACAAACCACCAGGCACGGCCTTCCCAAATTCCTCATCCATGAAATTGTAAATATAATAAAACTGTTGCTTTAGGCCGCTATATTTTGGATGGCTTGTTACACAACAATAGATAAGGGAAATGGAGGAGAGGGGAATATGACTAACACGTCTATCATCATGGAAGGTTTAGAGCAAAACCTTTTTTTTTCTAAGCCTCAAAATACCGAAAGAAGGAAGTCAACTTAGAGGCTGAAAAGAAAGATAAGGATAAATAATAGGCTCTCTTAATACTCTCAGACAGAAATAAATATATACAGCTTGGTACCCTTTGAAATGGTGGAGATGAAATATAAATGACTTCCAAAAAGGCAGGAAACAAAAGGATTGCTTTTCAGTAGTACAGATGGCAAGGAGCAAGAAAAGACAGCCATTATTTTGGAGGGCAGAAAGAATATTCCCCAAAGTCATGACAAGCTGGAATAATGGGCTAAATATGAAATATAGAATTTAGCAGGCATTAATGAAAAGTGGTGCAATTGAGTACAATTGCATATGTATACAAATAAATAATTTAAACAATCAGGGAGAAAATAATTTAGGTACCAGTAACCACTCAGAGAGATAATAACTTCTTAAACCACATTATTAGAAGTGGAAAATTCCAAATGAAGGAGGCTGATTATCGTTTTTTACTCAGAAAATACCTGGAAGATTATCTTCAGTTCTGTGAGCAATCAAGAGAATTTGAGAACACAAAACAATATCACATGGGAGAACTGTTGATGTTTTAGGTCCCTGTCAACTTGGGGAGTCTTCGAAACTATATTTAGATGCATTCTTGAAATTGAAGGTCTCACACAATTCCTCAATACCCTGTCCTAGCCTGGATCTACTGTAGTGGTGTTCTTCAAATCTAACTGCATAACACTCTAACAAGATCTGGAAAAGCAGAGTCCAGAGGGAGAATTGCTTCTGGGCTTTTTCATGGTAAGATTTGATTAGGGCAGGCTTTCCTGTAAGACTTCTGAGGTAGACTGGGGTGGATCTTGTTTGGATGGCCCTGCTATCTCACAAACAGGAAGGATTTCCAATTTCTCACTTAGAAAGAGCCAGCAGGCCTGGGGTCAAGGTCAGCTGGACATGACTTCACCAGACATTTTTTTTTGCCCTTGTGTGCTTTGCTTTGTGATGTATGACTCATCATAATTAAATTTTGAGCTAGATTAACTATAATTCCTGCACTTATTAGACGATCAGGGTTTAAAGCCCTTGTAAAAGAGGATGAGCTGTTCATTCTGATAATGCAATTAACTACCCAAAAGAGCTAATATTTTTTTTGAGCGAAGAGTAACTTTTGATTAATGATGCATTTTATTTTCCAAATCCCTGCAGCAATGGGTCACATCTTCAGCGAGAAAACCAAAGAAAAAGGGTGAAATTAGAAAATTCAGAGTGTTTAGATGTGGATTGGTGTGGATTCTTCAGCGTTAGATGCTCCTGTAGAACCTACTCCCAATCCCTGAGCCCCTATTCGCTTGGGCACACATGTACCCTCAGGATTCTCCACAGCCACTGTACACCTAGAAAACAATTTTGGAAGTGCTGATGTCCCTCGTCCTCATATCCTCTTATAGAAACAGGACATAGCATCAGCATTTCTGAGGTTCTTTGGCTATGGGATGCTATTTAATTCCATTATTTCCTGAGCAAGATCTATGTGAAGAGAGAACTGGTTGGGAGGAATCAGGAAATGCTTCCTGGGAGAGGTGATGTTTGAGAAGAGTGTGACTCAGGGCTGGCATGAGAATTGTGGCACATTATTTGATGTCAAGGAAATCAGTTAGAATGTTATTTTAGGAATCCAGATGAGATATCAGCAAGAAGGTGGAGAGAAACAGACATATTCACCCAATATTAAAGAAGTAGAATCTTCAAGACTTACCAGTTGATTGCATATCTGAGGGACAGTTGAGTGGGGAGTGTCAAGAAAAATTTCCAGGTGCCTGATTTGAGTGACAAGGCATATGATGGTAGTTTAGGTGGAAAAGCTTGTTTTGTGGGGGAAGATTATTTCTTCTGGAATGATGGAAGATATTTTGAGTTGGAGTTAAGTGTGGTACATCAAGGTAGAGATGCCTAATAGGCAACTGGATGTGTGGGGTTGGGACTCAGAAGAGAGGAGATGTTGATTGACAGATAATTGACACAGTAGTTGCAACCATGGTTGTGGATCGTATTGCCCAGGAATGGTATATTCAAATTAGGCTATGAAAAGAGGACCAAGAACTAAACTCTGGAGATTAACTCTCAAGGGGTAAGCCAAGGAAGAGCCAGGAAGGAGATTGAGCAGAAACAGACATCAGTGGCTTTAACTACAGGGAACTGGGGCCCATTGAAGCAAAGGGCAGAGAAGACACCTTGAAAAAAATGAATTCATGTTCTCAACAAGTGGAACTGATGGGAGAGAGACTGAGGAAGAAACTACAGGTATAAAGTTTAGCAGAAGTAAAGGCATAGAAAGTGAACTAGAGAAGGTGCCAAGGCAAAGATTTCAGTGAAGGAAATTTAATTTTCTCTGAAAGCAATATGCCATTATTCCTCACCCTGCCAAGGAGATTCAGTGTGGCTTCCTTTGCTTTGAAGCCATGTAGGCATCACTATTTTTTTCTTAGCTTCTGGATCCTAGTGAGCAGTATCCATCCTTCATGTCTTTTCCCAGATTCTCACTTACGCAGCCACTACTGCTGGCCTCTGAGAAGGATGGAAGCTGATACTGGGATGCAGTATTCAAAACTTACTATTAATACAATCTGGTCCAAACATATCTTCCCATCTTATCTTTTCTTTCTTATATCGAATCCCAGCTTCTTCAAAATAGAATTATCCACCAATTCCCATCTAATCTGTCTGGTTTCTTCCCTCTGTGCCGACATCCTGCTGTTCTCTTTTCCTGGCAGCTCCCAACCCCACCCATTTCCTATTTCTTCAAATTCTACTGATCCTTTATATGTCAATATCATACACCATAAAGCCATCCCACATCCTCTGAAAAGATCTGAATCTTCCCTCTAGACTACCAGAGCATTTTACTTTTTCATGGCACGAATCCTACTTTGCTGTGTATTTGGAGTTAGCCATGTTGGTTTCCAGTTTAGACTATGACGAATTCCTCAAGGGTCTGCCTGGACCCTGTTCTCCCTTTCTTGTGTCTCATCCACCAGCACTAAGCGCAGTGCCTGACACATACAATATGTCCAATAAATGCTTATAGAATGAATAAGTGAATGGATGAATGAAGGAAAAGATGGTTTGTGGAACAGTCCAGTGCTAATCTCAGAGAGAGAGAACTTTCCCATCTCTGGCTCCCAGATCCCAAATAAGATCTTATTCTAAGCCATGTGTTTTGTCTTACTCCATTAAGAAAAAGGTTTTGCTATATATTGTGCGAAGTCTCTCGATGGTGCATAGTTATCATTTTCTGTGACCCCATTTCTCCACATCCAACTGTGAGCTAATGGCATGGTTTGATGGAAAGAGCCTGACTTGGGTGTGGGATAAGGTCTGGGTTGATTCCTAATATTGACTCCTAATATTGTCTGTTACCCACTCTCTATGATTCTAGGACAGGTCACTTGCCCTCTCTGTGTACTGTAAACAGGAGTGTCCATTTCTGACCTGCCTCCCTCCAAAAGAGTACTGCTGTGAGGCCCCAGAAAGATATGGAGTAAACAGGTTCTTTGCAAACAATAGACTCTGGACACAGGTGAGGAATTGCCATTAACGAGGTAATTAATCTGGCTTGAAATAAAGAGTTGGATTCTGTCCTCTTTGGATCAGGCTGCTCTTTAAAATCGCTATCCAGAGCTCTGGGAGATGACTTTAAGTTATGTAGATGACACTTGTTAATGACAGAAAAATCTATAGGAGGAAGAGCTCAGATATGGTGGGGAGTCCAAGGTAGCTAGACTGGCTAGTAACAAGCAAAGAACAGACTCTGCCTGCAGTTGGTAATGAGATCATCAGGGCAATATTGCAGGGAACTGGAAGGGAAAACTGAGCCAAAGTATGGACTTTCAAGCAGTTTGAGGAAGGGATGTGTGTGTGCATAAGCATGTCTAAGGGGTCGCAGGGGTCTTTGATAGCAATAACTGTTGTCATTTGCATAAGCGCTCTTACAATTTGCAAAGCATTCTCATAACCACCATCTCTGAAGTCAAAAAACATTATCTCCACTTTCCAAGATAACCCCAACTAGAGCAGCATCTCAGTCTTAACTTTCCCTCCCCTTCCCTTTTCTTTCAGCCAATATCACCACCTAACCTTAAGGCCTTGAGAATGGCTGTGGAAACTGAGTCTCAGGGAGTGAAGCAACTTGTGCAAGGGCCAGAGCTGTAACTTGAACTTTAGGCTATGCTCCATTTTTCTTTAATATTTACCTTTTTATTATGTATAAAAGCAACAATGCCAATTGTAAAACTTTTGCAGGGAGAGGAAATCTCAGACAAGTATAAAGAAGAAAATATAATTTAGCCATAATTCAGCCTCCCAGAGATAACTATAAATATTGGATCCATATT